GCTGCCATCACCATTACAATCCCCATTCCCATCACCATTGCCATTACCGTTACCAGTACCATTTCCATTACCATTACCATTGCCATTATCACTACCACTACCACTACCATTTCCATTTCCGTTCCCGTTCCAATTACCACTACGATTCCCATTCCCATTCCCATCCCCATTACCATTACCATTACCATGGCCATGACCATTACCATTACCATTGCCATGGCCATTGCTATTGCCATTGCCATTGCCGTTGCCATTCCCATTGCCATTGCCATTGCCATTACCATTACCATTGCCATTGCCATCGCCGTTGCCATTGCCATTGCCAGTCGCTACCCCGTTACCATTGCCATAACCATTACCATTACCGTTACCGTCACCATTACCATTCCCAGTACCATTACCATTACCTCTGTCATTGCCATTACCATTACCATTGCCATTGCCATTGCCATTCGCCACTACCATTACCATTGCCATTCGCCACTACCATTACCATTACCATTGCCATTGCCGTTGCCATTCGCCACTACCATTACCATTGCCAATACCATTACCATTCACATTCCCATTCCCATTCCCATTCCCAATGCCATTACCATTACCATTACAACTGCCATTGCCATTACCATTAACATTACCTCTACCTTTACCTGCACCCTTACCCTTACCATTCCCATTCCCGTTACCACTACCACTGCCATTCCCATTCCCGTTCCCATTCACATTCCCATTCCCATTCACATTACCATTACCATTACCATTGCCATTGCCATTGCCATTGCCATGGCCATTACCATTGCCATTGCCATTGCCATTGCCATTGCCATTGCCATTACCATTACCTTTGCCATTGTCATTGCCATTGTCAATCGCTACCCCGTTACCACTATCATTACCGTTACCATTACCAATACCATTAGCATTACCCCTGTCATTACCATTACCATTCGCATTGCCATTGCCATTGCCATTAACCGCTACCATTACCATTGCCAATACCATTTCCATTGCCATTGCCATTCCCATAGCCATTACCATTACCACTATCATTTCCATTACCATTACCATTACCTTTACCCTTACCCTTATCATTCCCATTTCCGTTACCACTACCACTACCGTTTCCATTCCCGTTCCCGTTCCCATTCCCATTCCCATTCACATTCCCATTCCCGTTCCCATTCCCACTACCATTGCCATTACCATTACACTTACCATTGCCGTTGCCATTGCCATGGCCATTATCATTGTCATTGCCATTGTCATTGCTAATCCAATTGTCATTGTCATTACCATTATTGTTGCCATTGTCATTGTCATTGCCATTGCCAATCGCTACCCCGTTACCATTACCATTACCGTTACCATTACCATTACCAGTACCATTACCTCTGTCATCACCATTACCATTACCATTACCATTACCATTGCCATTGCCATTGCCATTGCCATTCGCCACTACCATTACCATTGCCAGTACCGTTTCCATTCCCATTCCCATTACCATTACCGCTGCCATTACCATTAGAATGCCCATTCTCATTCCCATTCCCATCCCCAATTCCATTACGATTCCCATTCCCATTACCAGTGCCATTACCAGTGCCATTACCATTACCACTACCACTATCATTTCCATTCCCGTTGCCGTTCCCATTCCCACTCCCATTCCCATTACCATTACCATTATCATTACCACTGCAATTGCCATTACCATTACCATTACCTTTACCTCTACCTCTACCTTTACCCTTACCCTTACCATTACCATTGCCATGGCCATTACCATTGCCATTGTTATTGCCATTCCCATTGCCATTGTCATTGCCATTACCATTACCGTTGCCATTGTCATTGCCTCGCTACCCCGTTACCACTATCAGTACCGTAACCATTACCAGTACCATTACCATTTCCACTGCCATTACCATTACCATTACCATTACAATTGCCATTGCCATTGCCATTCGAGGATTCCAGTAGGAAGCATTCAGTGGAGGGTTTCAGTAGGAATCCACATGTGGAGGATTTCAGTAGGAATCATTCAGTGGAGGGTTTCGATAGGAACCCTTCTGTCGAGGATTTCACTGTGAATCCTTCTTATGGGGGCGTTCAATAGGAATCCTTCTAGGGGGAAGGGCAGATGTGGCCCCGTCGCATTCCTTTTTTTTTTTTTTCTCCTGGCGTCCCCCCCCCAGGAAAAAAAACAAGATTTTTTTTTCGGGGGGGGGGGGGGGACGCCAGGAGAAAAAATAAAAAAAGGGCAGAGAGGTAGGAGGGGGAGAGGGAGGAGGGAGGAGGAGAGGGGAGGAGGAGGAAGGAGGATTTTCCCCCCCACCCCCCCCCCCGAAAAAAAAAGAAAAAAAAAAGGCGGATCCGCCCAGTTTTTTTTTTTTTTTGTTTTTCCTGGGGGGGGGGGGGGGGGGGGGGAGGGGGCCAAACAACGAAAATGGTATTGTTCCTTTTGGAGGAGGAGGAGGAGGAGGAGGAGGAGGAGGAGGAGGAGGAGAGAGGAGGCCGCCACAGAGCACGCATATCTCATTGAAATAGACGCGCGAACTCAGTGTGAAAGCCTCGCTTTGGCGCCTTCGACCCCGAGGGGCTCCACAATCCCCCGTTCTCTTCTCCTCCCCTCCCCCTTCTCCTCCCCTCTCCTCCCCTCCCCTTCTCCTTCCCTTTCTCCTCCCCTCCCCCTTCTCCTTCCCCTTCTCCTTCCCCTTCTCCTTCCCCTTCTCCTCCCCTCCCCCTCGTCTTCGTCTCCCCCCCTCGCCTTCGTCTTCGTCTTCCCGCACTTCCCGGCTCCCTCTGCAGCCGGAGCCGCCTCCGCTCCGCCGCCTGCCCGCAGCCCCTTTTGGGCTCTTTTCCCCGTCCCCCTCTCCCCTGGCCGTGGCCGCCTGGGCCGTGCGCGCGCGAGGCGGGGCCCTGGGAGGCCGCCTTCTGGGGGCGGGGCACGCCGCGGTCGAGACCGATGGGCCTCCCCTCCTCGTCCTCGTCCTCGTCCTCGTGCTCCTCCTCGTCCTCGTCCTCGTCCTCGGCTTCCTCCTCCCTCCTCCACTTCCCCTCCCCTCCCCTTGTCCCCTCCGCCTCCCCCTTCTCCTCCTGCCCCTCCTCCTCCTCGTCCTCCTCCTCCTCCTCCTCTTCCTTCCCCTTCTCCTCCCCTACCCCTCGTCTTCGTCTTCGTCTTCGTCGTCCCCCTCCTCCTCCTCCGTTCTCCTCGGCGGTGCAGGCCACCGCGCCGGAGTGGGGTGCTTGCTCTTCGAGGGTTGCTCGAACGAAGGCTTCGATCGGCGCAGGGCTCGCTCCCGCGTAGGCGTGAGGCACGCTCCGAACTCCAGGCGCACAGCTGCAGCTTAACACCCGCCTCCTTTTCCTCCGCACCATCATCACCATCATCCTCGTCATCACCATCATAATCGTCGTCCTGCGTGTTGTCGGCGTCGCCATCACCATAACCATCATCACCATCACCATCACCATCATCACCATCATCACCATTATCACCATCATAATCGCCGTCACCATCGGCATCGCCATCACCATCACCATCACCACCACCATCAACATCACCATCATCGCCTCGTGCGGCATGCTGACACGTTGCATGCTGAGGCCGGTTGAGGAGCTCTCCCACAAGTGGGAGCAGCACTACAAGACAAACCGCTGCTTATGCGCCACACACCCAACGAGCACACCGAGCAACAGCTCAATCAGCTCGACGGCACCGAGAAGAGAAAACTGGTGGCGGTAAAGGCGGAGTACGAACTGATTACGAAGTTCTTGGCAGTGGTGCGGCGCAACCAAGACGAGACGGTGTACGACAACCACAAAATCGAAACCAAGGGTCAGCTTGCCATCGTCATGGGAAACTACCACCTCGCCTGCGCAACTTGCCGAGCGAAACCCAACATCGAGTATCACTTCCAATGCCACCGCTGCGACGATGGCAAGGTGCGCCTCTTCTTGCATATTGACAAACGGAGCTACTACTTCACTTGTGCCGCCAACGGAAAAGCGGTCCAACATCGTGCACATCTTTGACTGCCACGGCTGCGACGACGGCAACGTGCGCATATTCTTGCACTTTCGTTCCGCGCAGTTCGTGCTCACGCAGAAGGAGTCCGAGAAGTCACAGCAGGAGAACCTGAAGGCGGAGCACGAGCCGCGCACGAAGCTCATGGACGAGTCGCGGGCGGACACAGTCAAGGATGACATTGCCGACGTCGCTGGAACGGAGCAGTACCACGATAGGCGCAACGACGAGCCTTTCGCCGACATGCGTTACGGAGTGCGCAGTACCACGGGAGGCGCTACGACGACCCCTTCGCCGAGACTATGCGCTACAGTGCAGTCTAGGCCGCCCATTTGGTGCTTAGTTTCTTGGCCTATTGCGCTTCGATATGGCTGCCGTGCTTTGTGTGGTTCGTGGACTTGGTCAAAGCCTTCGACCGTGCGGTCCGTGAATTTTTTCCCGGCCGGCCCGCTGACGCCGTCGATCCAGAATCCTACCTCCAGTCTTTTGGCCTGATTGCCGATCAGGCTCAGTGGATCGCCGCGTGGGTTTCGCAGCGCGGGTGCTTCTTTGCACAATTTGGCGTCAGCTCTAAGGTGGTGCGGCTGCTGGGGACATGCACGCTGCCTCCTGGTTCGCTTATGACGATGTCGGTTCAGTGGGTCTCCGCGTGGATCGGCGGGCGCCAGGGGTGCACGTTCGGCGCCGTTGTCTTTAACGGCGCGTTTTTCTTGGCCATGATCTTTTTCCGGGACGCGGTGCAAGCGAGAGGCATCATACGGTTCCGACCTGGGGCGGTAACTTTGTGGGCCGCGGACGTCGGCGAGGGCGCCAGCGACCGCGATGGCGACGACATCCCAGCTGTTGACGCCGCATTCGTCGACGACGACTGTTTCATGCTTCTTGCGCGCCCCCCGACGGAGCTGGGTGCGGCGATGAATGTGGTGCTTGAGAGTGTCTGTTCGGTTCACGAGACCATTAACTCCTGGGA